CCGACTTCCAACATTCAGTTGGAATCGGCAGTGGCTTCAGTGGCGCACTGTTTGAAGGTGCAATCTTTATGCGCTGACACTCTTCGCAAGAGCGAATATAGTTGACCACCCACCGATATAGGTGGGGCCACCAAAATTCCTCTGACACTCGTAAGAATGTCTTTTCACGGCCCAGATGCCCACTAGATGGCGCATCATGGCACTCGTGAAGTATCATCAGCTTGAGATCTGTGTCATGAGGGACATAGATTCTCAAGGGATCACAGGGTGACAGTTGATGCCATAACAGGCCACACTGTAACTAAAGCGATTTAACTTCGCTTTGAGGTGCGACGGAAGGGTAACCTTTCGTCCACCAAAATGATCCAACAGCAGGCGACAATGTTCGTCCTGACTGTAACACTCCTTGATATCGGAGGCCATTGAGCTCGTCACATGGTAGGCCTTCATGGCTGCCAATGTTGACTACTCAACTTGTGCGTTCGCACGAGACACACTATCCTGGTGTCTTGCCTCGAAGTCTGGTCTGCGCGATAACGCGTCAGCCAAGACATTTGACTTACCCGGCTTATATTCAACTTTGAAATTAAATTCAGAGAAGAATGTTAGCCATCTTGCCATTCTCGGCGAGAGGTGCGGTGAATTTATAGCGGTCCGCAGTGATGCGTGATCCGTATAAACCACAAAAGGTTCGGTGCCCAAGAGGTGCACCCGAAACTTCACAAGGGCATACTTAATTGAAAGTAGCTCCTTGTCATGCACAGGGTAATTCAGCTCGGCAGCTTTTAAAAGCCGAGACTGATAAGAAATGACACGGTCAACGCCGTCGTCATCCTTCTGCATGAGCGCGCTGCCGATTGCAAAATTGCTTGCATCGCAGACGACGCTAAAGGGCTTATCCGCGTCTGGCAATGCCAAGACCGGTGCCTCTACAAGAGATTGCTTCACTGAAGTGAACGCATCTTCTTGTTCCTTTGACCAAGTCCATTCTGTATCCTTTTTTAAAAGGTCAGACAACGGCTTGGTCTGCTCCGCATAATTCTTACTGTACTTATGCAAGTAATTAGCGAGCCCAAGGAATTGGCGCAGATCCTTCACATGACGTGGGACTGGCCATTCCTTTACAGCCTTTACCTTTTCTGGGTCTGCTCGTACACCATGTGCACCTACGATGCAGCCCAGTACAGGTATCTCGGGGACCCCTATTACGCACTTTTGCAAGTTCACGTATAATTGGGCGTCACCCAGAGTCTGCAACACAGCGTCTAAATGACGCTTGTGCGACTCTATCGCGCTCAGACCGTCCTCCGCCCTACTATGCACGAATACATCGTCAAAGTAATGGGGCGCGTAGGCACGGTGCTGACGCATCACGTGAGCCACTACTCGGTTGAATGTTGCCGGAGCATTTTTCAACCCTTGTGGCATCACAAGCCACTCCCACAGCATACCGCTTGGGGTGCTTACTGCCGTTTTGGCTACATCGGTATCTCTCATGAGAACCTGATAGTAGCCATCCTTCAGATCCAACGCGGAAAAGATAGTTGACTTTCCCATGGAATTCAACAAGACATCTTTCCGCGGGATCGGCGTTTGAGCTGGAATGGTGGCCGTGTTCAGCTTATTATAAGCGTGAACCACGCGCCATCCACCCGTGGCTTTACGCACACAGAAGGTCGGGCTGCAGTGAGGCGACTTGCTCTCACGTACATGTCCCGCCTTAGCTCGCTTGTCGAAGAACTCATCGATGTAATCGACTTGTTCCTTCGGCAACGGCCATTGCCTGGTCACACAATACTTGGTGCCAGGCTCCAGGTCAATTTCGTGCCTGATGCCCCTATCGGCCGGTAGGCGGCTCGGCACTTCTGCTGGAAACACATCACGGTGTTTCCACAGAACATCATAGAACGGGCTGTCCTTCAAGGCATCCCAGCCTTGAGCAGCGAACCGTTTCTTTTTGTCGGTCTCCAAGACGCTCTCATCCGCTGTGGATGAAGAGCAACAGTCCACTACGTTCTCTTCTGGAACTGGTGCGACTATCTCGTGGATCTTTCCTTCCTTTAGTTCGGACAGGAACAGATCCCACGTCATCTCCGAGAGATTTACTATCTCCTCGGCAGATGCCAAGACAAGTTGGAGCACCTCAACTGAGGATGCCTCCGGCATTTTGTCTTCAACGACCTCGAAAAATTTGTTCGTAGGTCCGTCCTCTTGGACCGAGACTGATCCATGGGTCACTCGTTTCGACGTGCCCTTGATCGTCTTAATACGTCTGGTGCTCGTTCTTCGAGTCACCACGACCTTTGACCTGGAAGAAGGTGTCGTTGCTATCTCAGCTAACGCACTCCTTCCAACCGCACCAGGCTCTTGGCTCTGTGCCAGTTCTTGTGGCGCTTGACTTCCTGTCAGCCCACGATCAACTGCCACAGGCTCTCGGCTCTGTGCAGGACTATTGGACGCATGACTACCTGTCATCGCCCCATTCACTACACCAGTCTTTTCGACCTGGGTAGGAATATGTGTCACCTGGCTTTCCGCCAGTGCACTCACAACTACACCACTCCTTTCGAGCTGGGTAGTTCCTGGTGTCGATTGACATACCGTCATCGCACCCTCGACTGTGTTGGACACAGCATCAGTCACATAAGCCTCTCGCAAGAGCACATCCTTTCCGGTGTCTTGCGTAGAGCTAGCGACTGTGCGTGTACGCCAGTCTATCCATGGTTGATGTTTAGCCAACCAAGGCATGCCTAGGATGAGGTCGTACGGACTCTCCATACCTAGCACTGTGAACTTCTCTTTACAAGAGAAGTCACTAAAACTGAAGGCGAGTTCAACTTGAACTCCCTCCGATTTGACGAGCGCGCCGTTCGCTAAACGAACGATCGCCTCTTCTCGCTTGCCATCCTGGCAAAGCGACTCATAACTCGCCGGTCTCTTTTTTAGAGCCGCGAGTTTCACAAAGTTTTGTGATGCACCCGAATCCACGAGAAGGGTCATCACTTGGTCATAGCCTCGTACTCGAGCGCTATAGACCAAAAGGGTTGAGGTCCGACCTTTCGGAACCTCGGGGACTATGCTACCCATTTGTTCGATCACTCTGAACTTAGGGGTAGCTTCAGAGTCCGCGACAGTAGGGCATCCCGCCCCTACTGCGCTGCCGCATTTCCCGACCCATCTTGGGCAGGTGCTGAACCCGTGCGTCGTGCACGCTGGTTTGTCTCACCTCCCTTCGGGTTGGGAGACCTTTTGCTGGATGCCTTAGCACCAGCAGCTACCTTGGTATAGCAGCGAGCCATCATATGGCCTCGCTTGCCGCACTTGTAGCAGATCACATCTGCATTGCCTAACTCCATAGGAGTGGCATCAGACTTCTCGGACGACGGCCTGTAATAGGCTGTCGCCGAGGCGCTGTTGTAGGATTGCTCCTCAACTAAGGCAATGTCAATTGCCTCTTCCATCGTCGCTGGCACCTTTCTGAAAAGGGCCTGACGCGATGGGCCATGCCTAAGTCCATTCATGAACGTGGCTACCTTGATACGCTCTGGTATCGGTTCCCCATTGATGGACGCCGACAGCGAACGCATCTCCTGCACAAATTCTTGCAGAGAGCGTTTCGCCTGTCGTGCTACAACGAAGCGCGCCATAAGCAACACTTCGTTGTTAGGCGGCTGATACATGGCGCGAATCTTTGACTTAAAGATCGCCCATGATGGAAATGCATCAGCATTTGCCATCAGCGCAGAGTATGCCCACTCTGACGCTTTGCCACGCAAGTTGGACATGGCATACGACACCATTCTGGTGTCGTCTTCGATGAGCTGCGCCACTCCACATTGCTCCACTGCTAATAGCCAGTGAACAATCGTGTGAGGGCTAGTTCCATCGAACTTCGGAGGGTCCATCCGAATGGGCCTCGGTTGAGCAGGCCGGGCAGAGAGCGTCTCAACAGTCCTGTTGAGCGCCTCATTACGTGCCTGCTCAAGCCTAAGCTCATCCTGAGTCTTAGTGATGGACTCAGCGGTGGCTTGGCTGTTTACCTCGGACGCGTTTCTACGCTGTCCGAGCACAAACGCCTCAAATTGCTCCAACTGAGCAACATGTTGCTCAGGAGGACAATGCAAGAGATTGACCAGGGCTTGTTCACCAAGTCCCTGCGCCATATGCTCTGCCAACTCCCTATGATGTTGGGAGAGGTGAGGGAAGTCACTCCAGTCCATATTAAGGACCATGTCAACCACACGCACGCTCAGAGAGACGGGTCGTGGGAAGGACTACTAGTGCTACCAAGTGTAGACGGGCACTTCTATGAAGTTGCCTCGTACTACGAGCACACACCTTATGCACAAGCGAGGAAGCGGTTATACCGTCTTACCTTCGCGTGCGAGGGTGGTTGGGAGGTTGGTCGACTGCTTAAGCAGTCGTACCACCAGTTGCCTCTCGCTTAAGCGAGAGTGCAACGAACTTCTTAACAAGAAGGCACCGACGTCACGTAGAAGCTTTTCAGCTTCTCGTGCGTGGTGCTTCGGTTTAAGGAAATTCAAGACTGAGATATATTTAATTAATTATAACTAAATATATGTTTTAACTACTGATTGGCTATATATATATATATATATATATAGATCGGATACGCGACTCTTTAGAAGCGTATCCTGTCGCATGATCTTAAATCTAGATTTAAGATCGCAACTGACGTCCTTCTGAGACGTCGCGATGCCTAGCTTCAACTAGCGTCATCCCTTCTCATGTGAATCCATTAATGGATATCACATTCACGAGGGTGGATCACATTTGTGTATCGCACCCAAGTGACTGGTCAAAAGTAATCATGGATACTTTTAGACCAAACATTAAGTATATTACTTAATGTTTACGTGTAACTAGGTACCCTGTTACAACAGATATCCCACTACGTTTCAACTAGGACCCCGCCGTTTCGAACTATAACCCGCAATCTTTAATTGCTTGCACTTGCTGAATAAATCTCGGCAAAAGTTATGCCAATTACTACTTTGTCGTCGAAGATCGTGCTACGAGTGCATCAATTTGCATCCAACAAAACCGAATACACGAGAGATCAAATGACATTAGTTGCAACCAACGGAATTGTGGTGGGCAAGGGATTCCAAGCTAATTTCAAGCTTTATGATGATTCGGAGGTCGATGCTGCTCACGGGACATTGGAATGCACTCTTGGGCTCGGGGTTTGGGTCTATAGTGATCACAGTCGCTACGGTTCGATACTTAATGGCGATCAAAGTGTTCACAATAATGCAGTGGTAGTGCATCATGGTGATACGTTAAAGGTCGGTCGGACCGAAGTCTAGTTGAGTCTGATAAGGGGAACGTCGGAAGCAATTCCAGAAGAGAAGGAAGCGAACAACATAGTGTCATCAGTTGGTGTCAATCAGGAGACCGAGTTAAGTGCACGAAATATTGCACGAATGGCTCGACGTAGAGCGTCAACGTCATGGGAATCGGCGGATGCAGTGTCCAGATTACAGCAAGCTAAGGAACGACTGCCTCGTATTGAAACATTGGGGCTTGACTTTGTTGCAGTTGAAACATCCATGGCGACGCCTCCGGAGTATACGGTGTCGCCACTTTCTGAGACGCGGTGGCGGATTCCTACTGCTAACACAACCGCAGATGCAGCAAAAAATTCCCGTCTCCACTCTTAAAGCAGTACGGACATCCGCAATCGTTTCATCGACCTCGTGCGCGGTTTGTGGAAGGTTTTGACATGCCGTTCACATCAATACATCAGCAGCCAGAAGCTGAAAATTCAAGTAAGAAGGACCTCCCACCGCCTTTGGAATATTCGAGCTCTCCAGCGGTGTCTCCGTCGTCTGTAGCGGCACGGCAGCGCTACAATCTCCTTCAGCAACCACCAACTAGTGTACCTGTCCCAGTGTCTGCATTGATCGCTAAAGTGTCGCTTCCGCCAACAAGTACAGGTGGCTGGCCAAGCTCGCGGCGTGACGATCTTCGCATTCAGGTGTCCAAGAAGATGGCTGCGGCAGCGCCAGTGGGTGCTGGCAAGGCTACTGTTCCCCGCGTACTTCCAGGAGCACTGGAACCTCAACCACCTGCGTCACCTGTGGCACAAAGAGACCTTTTAAAACAACAACTATCACTGCAGACCATTCTGCAGGCCAAATTTGAAGAGAAAAAACTACTCAAACAGCAGCAGAAGTAGTGGATGAGACAAACGATGATGTCTGTCATCTCCAACAACAACGAGATGCTAGCTTCCACGCTGCATCCTCCTGTCGAGAATGAGAAAACGTCGCTTGACACTGACCCGAATGAGTTGGTACTGTTTCCCGCACCAACTCCAGTACCCTTACTTGGACTTAGGCAGCACCAGATTCTGAAACCAACTTCACGAGTTTCAGCAGTCACATTAGCGTCCCGAGCACGTCTTAACAGCTTCGAAGAAAGATTCAATGAAACAAGATGCAATGCTAAGAAGGGACGTCATAAGACTACAGCGCTGGCAAGCGAATTACACAAATGGGAGGTCAGACACCGCAATCCCGCCAAGGAAATTGAGCTGCGCAGCTCAGATGAAAGCGTCATTTTCACAGCAACTACGATGATTACTTGTCAATGGCGTGCCATGAGCTCGGTACGTCATTCACAGATTGTCCGTTTATCGACTCGACCTCTTGTTTTCGTTAACGTTTGTTGCTGTTTACTCCCACAGCTCTCATCAAGTTGTACCAGCTCCGTTGATCTTTGCGATTTCCTCGGTTATGAGGAAGAGGAGGATACGGACGACATGATCACGTCGTATACAACTCCAAAATGGATCAATTGAGCTGCTACGCTCTTGATTCTAAGCAAATTTGCTGGATTGTTGTCAGTGACTTCTGAGTTCTGGTAAGTTGTCGTACTGGGTTAGTCCATATGCTTTGGTGCCTTTAGCTTTAGCATATCTGCGTTGTATCATTCCCATTTTTATATATAAAGTAGCTGATGAGAAGTGCTGCTGTGGTTGCAGGTATCAGGAATCAATTCCACTGCACAATGACCAACCCAACATTGCGTGCTGTTTGTACTCACTCATTTTCTTGGTGTTGATGCAGAAAATCGTTGTCTTGTAACCGCAAAAAAAACATCGTCACACCTACATGGTACGCAAGCATAACCCCGATAGCATAAAGGTTCACCTCTTTCTTCATTTTGCTGATTTAGACGTACGGCCAGAGTCTATCAAAGTGGTTCGTGCAAAGCTAAGCAGCACTATAGATCCGACCAAGCTGAACAAGCTTGAAAGCTGTTCCTACAGCTGCTTCACTTTAAACTTGACAAATCCGGTGGCGTGTTTTCGACTTCAACGAGAAAGGCAGCTTCTTACAGCAGTTTGTTTGTATGAAGAGGTTTTGCAATGCAGAAGCTTATTTCTTCCAGAAGCTGCATCCGAATGATACGAGTATTCATCACAGTGCTGGTGCTTGTTTTGTGCCAGCTACAAGTCACGAGAGTGCAGCATCGACCAACAGCACACGTCTCAATGTTACTGACTACTGGATGGAAAACCATCCGTACGTGTACCTTCCTTACTGGAAGCGCCTTCAAAATGGTAAAATTGTACTGAAGAACGACTCGACCTTCAGTAGCGTACGTGATACAGCTAGGACAAATACGTCATGGATTTCAAGGTGGGTCCTCTCAAGTGAGGGTCAACGCACGCTACGAAAAGATATATCACGGCTGCTGATGTACAATCTAGTGTCTCCCATGGACTACGGGGACTCGCTGCGGTCTAGTAACGTGCGTCGGCGCCGTAACAAAGCGGTACGCATGTTTCTAACAGACAACTTGGCACTTCCAGCCTTGAAAATTTTCGGTCGTGTAGCTTGGAATCTCATTCAAAGTCATTACGTTGACTATTTCAAAGACGAGATGTTCGCGCAGCGTTTAAAGACTATGAACGCTAGTGAGATGATACGAGAATTTAACCTCACACTCCCAATAGAGGCGATCGAAGAGATACAAGATGAAGATAGCCGACTAAACACAACGCAGGCATACGAGTATGATGGAGAAAAAAAGCGAGCTCAATTATACAGACAGTACCCGCAGCTTTTGAACCATACGAGAATTACTCGAACCAGTTTTACACCCGAGCCGATACTTTGCCGCCACCCACATTTCCTGCCGACAGCTATCCGTGGCTTTGGTCTTCGCAGCTTAACATGAGTGAGTGAGAAGGTGAGGTATATTTAAGTACGCGTACGACCCATTATATCCTGTCGACAGGTAACAGAGTTACCGTGGCGACTTCTACTTTAAGTACTAGGTATAACTAGTCCTCGGACAGCCGAGCGTCGTCGCGCAGAGTCTTGTCTCGAGATGATCAGGTTCCGTGGCGTCATAGCGGGTCCCTGAGGTTCGTAGTTGTCGGCTTGAGAGGCCTCCAGCGAGTGGTTGACATCATGGTCAAGGAATGCCGAAGCCTCCTTGACAACACCTTCCTCAGCGGAAGCGTGCACTTGAATTGAGGCTCCAGTGTCCATAGCGATATTTGCCAGTCGTTCGCCATTTTGTTGTATGAGCGATAGTGATGTCCCCAGCTGGAGACATCGATATCGTCAGCAAGTGCTCTTGCCTCTCGGAAAAGAAGGGCCAGGTGTGGCTTGCGTGGAGGATGGTGCGTCCGAAGCTGCGAAAGCACGAGCGCACTGTCCCCCACGACATGGAGAGGTGAGTAGCCGCTAACCTTCGCTTGTCGAAGCCCGTGCACGAGCCCCCAGTATTCAGCGACATTGTTCGTGGTATTTGCAGAACCGTAAGCCATGCTCGATACCCACACGACGCATGCTGCGTGCGTCTGAATGTGAAGTTGGACAATGACGGAACCTGCTCCGCCCGGTCCAGGATTTCCTCTTGACCCCCCGTCGAAGAAGAGCAGGTAAAAAACCCCAGATAGAGTGTCAAGCGGCAGCGCTCGCAAGGGTGGAGGATTGTCAAAGCCGATGAGGGTATCAGCAAGCGCCGACCGTACTCGTGCGAATAGGTATCCGTCTACCCCCATGTCCGACTGATATGTTGAACTTCGAAACCGTGTAACCGCTCGTCGAAATTGTGTCCTTGCTCTTGCGTCGTGTACTTCCTGTGGCAAAAGTGAGTCTTCCAAGCGGCGGAGACGCTCAGCCCAGATGGAATGTAGTGTCGTAGAAACGAGAAAACGCCAGAGCTCACGCGTTGCTGGAAAAACGGCGTCCTTCGCTCGAGACAAATCTACACTGGGTTCGATAGCGTTTTTAATGGCATTCCATGCAGAACTCGGAATACTCGGAAGGTCCTGCCAAACACCCAGACGTGAAGGTCCGCCTCCTCCAAATCGCCTAGCTTTCGCCACCGTTCAAGTAGATAACCCCAATGACGCCGAGCGCTAGGGCAATTCCAGAATACATGACTAGCCATGGCCAGTAAGGATGTCGGACACGCTCGGTCGGGGCAAGATAGATCTTGGTTAGCCCAATTCCATAGCGGGAAGCTGTTACTCTTCAGACGATAAAGCGTCTGCGCGTTGGTCGGGAAAGAAGCCCGTATTTTACGGATGTCTCTCCACTCGATCAGAGATGTACCTGCTGCAATCACTTGGAAGTCCGGCTTCTTCACGCGTTCGTCGCAAATGCGTTTGCCTTCATCATTTCGCCTGCGGGAAATGATCGTTTTGAATTTTCGTCGTTGCGGCCTCCATCTTCGACGGCCAGCCCATAGGTGTACAACACGCGTAAGCGTTGGATGCGCACCAAAGTGGACAGTAATTCCACTGTCCAGACACGCTGCGGTATCGCAAGCAGCCATAGATGAGACTGTAGCCACCCCACCCGCTATACCCGTGTCGAAGTGCGATACCGATAAACCGTCTCGGTCGAGGAGCCAAGTATGATATTGGTGGACCTTTGTCGAGTACGCCAACAATGCCCCCGATTCAAACGACCTGTATACGAGTGCTGGAAAATTGTATAGAAGGACAAGGCAGAAGTTCCCAAAATGCCGACGCTTCGCCATAGAGTGGGTAGCCATGTCACGCTTGGGCGAAAATCGGACGATACCACTCTGAGTCGTCTTCCAGGTGAATATGTCGCCAAGGTACTTGTGCCCCCTCGCAAAATCCGCTCCATTCAAAGTATAAGCCTTGCCTCTGCGATCCCTCAGCCACGACATGTCCGTCAGCGTTGCGTGTACGATCCATCTGGGTTCAAAACGACCTGATGTCGCTACTTCAGCTCTCATCCCGGCCCGCAACTTGTCATCAAGTATACGGCGGACATCAATTGTGACACTACCGTCTCCATTATAGTCGATTAAGACTCTTGATGTAAAAGAGGCGGCCCTTCGGCAGACCTCCTGGACCTCTCCTTGGCGGGCATGTCGAGCAGCTGAAAGCCCAACAATTTTAGAACTGGTTAACCATAGCGTCACTTGGAGTCGAGGCTCCTGGTCTTGGGTCCAACATGGCGTGATGTAAGCCGGACCCGAATCAGTAGAGCCCCATAGAAAGTCTCCGATCAGTAAATCTTTCGAAGAAGCTGTAGCTGCCCACTGTCCAACAGCGGTTGCCGCCATAGTCATTAATTCCGTACGAATACACGGCACCGATAGCCCACCTTGCTGTATCGGTAGTGAAGCCATCTCTGAAGGGACCCACGGTCGGGACCTCTTGCCATCATGGACGCCCCATACAAAGTCCATAATTAAGCCCTCCAATCTATTAATCATGGCGGGAGGTGGCCAGCAGTGCCGTGCTAAGTAGGTAATTTTGGGCACCGCGATGGCGCTAGCGATGCGAGCTCGTTGTTCCACCGTATGAGTCTTCTCTCGTGCTAGTGCAAGTCGACACCATAGAGATCGTATGCATTTACACCAGTTGTCAGCTACCGCATCCTGTTGGCCAACAAGTACACCAAGATACCTGCATGATCCGCTTGAAGACTGTACATTGAGGCCACACGCGTCCAAGGGCAAAGATGATCCGCGAGGGTCAAGCTCAATGATAATAGACTTCGCTCGATTCGTCAGCAGACCGGAAACAGCTGCAAAGTCTTCGAGGATCGTAATAACAGGCAAAACCGCAGACCGATCGCGAAGATAAACCGCCGTGTCGTCAGCGTATCCCGAAATTTTAATGTCAGTGGTTCTCCCCCCAGAAGTAAGAGGTATCCCGCGGATTTCATCCCTCTCTTGAATCACTCGATAGACACTATCCAAGGCGAGTATAAAAAGAAGAGGAGCAAGAGGGCACCCTTGCCGTATGCCGCAGTGAACGTCACGTCTGCTTGAACGGTACCCATTCACAATAAATCGACATGTCGTGTTTCGGTGTAATGCCGCCACGACTGCTACGAATTTTGGCGAGAAGCCATGCCAAGTCAACGCCGAAAGTAGAAACAGACGTTGCAACGTGTCGTATGCCTTGGCGAAATCGAGAAGAAGAACAATGAATCCGTGTAGATCGCTGTCAGCACTCGCCGCTTTGCGAACCGCCGAAAAAATGTCAAGAGCTGTATGGATCGACCGCTTCGGGACAAAACCAACTTGAGCTGGCAGAACAATATGCGACAGCATCGGCCGAACTCGAAACGAAAGGATCTTTGTAAATAACTTGTAGTCACTGTTGAGAAGCGCGATCGGCCGATGATCAAGAGGCAAGGCGGAAGCCGCGGTTTTCTTCAGACACTGAATGTTCGCTTCACCAAAAGACGTCGGAAACACGCTGCACTCCATCCATCTAGTGTACAGTGCTGCAAGAATTGGCGCGAGCGCGTCAGCATAATCACGGTAAAAGGTGTTGTTGATTTCATCTGGTCCTGCGGCTTTCCCACGTTGAAGTCTCTTCAAAGCCGCACACACATCTTCAGGAGATATAGCTGACGTCACTTTAGAGTCATCAACCCGGACCGGTGTGGAGGCTCGTTCCAGAAATGCAGCGGTAGAATCTGAACAATCAAAAAATTGAGTCATAAGATGCTCCCAGCCGTCTGCCATTTCATTTGCCAATTCCTGCGACCGATTCGACCCGTATGTAGCTTGTCCACCCAAAGAAACGATAGTGTTGTCCTGAAATTTTGTCGACACCCGCGCGAAGAAACGACGAGAAGTCTCGCCTGGAGAGTATGTGTGCTGGACAAGAAGTCGCTCTTTCTTGGTTCTCTGCCATAATCGTCGACACTCCGCAACGTTTCGACGAAGTTCCGCAGGATTATCGACGGGGCTGGGTTGGTCGCATATCGTTTGAGCACACGCTATTGAGGTAGCTGACGAGCGCGCCTCCAATAGCGCCGCATCCAGACGGACATAGAGGCGCTTCAGCCGCTGTCTGTAGCTGCGCGTCAGACCTTGGCGGGCTGTCTTTGTAGTCGCCACAAGAACTTTGCGTAACTTGATCTTCCATCCATCCCACCAGTCGGCCAATCGTCTAGCCGTTCGATAGTCCGACGTCGGAACTGAGCTGGATTCATCAACTTCAATCTGTGCCAGCTCAATGGCCGAAATAATGGCGCTGGTCGCGGCCGCTTGTGCACAGCCCGGCACTGGATATACGCTCCGTGGCTTACGTACGCGCACAACATGACTTGGTGCCCCAATCCGTATACTGATTCCATTGTGGTCAGCGGCTGGGCCAGGTACAGACAGATCGACGTCTCGAACCCAATCAGCATGAAGAGCACTCACGTACCACCGATCAAGTCGAGAACTGGCTGATCCACCTCCAGGCAAAGTGTAGAAATAGGTGTGTGCCGCCGCATGAAAGGCTGCTACGGCCCTCTCTTCTTCCGCTCGCTCCATGTCATCTTCGAGTACATCGCAAAGTTGTGCGCGACCTAGAAGCCGTCTCAGCGCCTGCGAATCATGTCTGCCGGGCGGCGAGACAAAAGATCGGTCAAGTCGAGGCACCAATGTGCAGTTAAAATCCCCGCCCACGAACAAGGGTCCGTCGTGATCCAGCAGGTGATGGCGAAGCATCTCGAAAAACGCCTCCCGTTCAGGCTTACCACTCGGGGCATATACGTTGACGACAAGAACGGTCTCGCTTCGAATATTAATTTGAACAGCCATCCAGTGCGGTGTCCAATGTATCTCATGCCACGGTTCCATCTCAGTAATCGACGAGTACGGATTCAGTAAAATCGCAACCCCTCCACGCGCTGCTTCGGACTCGGTCCATCGAGTGCGTCCGGGCTTGTCCA